AAACTATTGCAGCTTAGGTCACGGTCCCTCCCAATAGATGATAGTGAGAGTTCACCTTATTCCCTTTCATCACTATTATGGCACTTCGAGAAATATTCGGCACTTTACCTTCGGTAGTGTACTTGCATATGATGTTATTGAGTGTCTCTAGAGAAATATGTTTATTCTTGAGCTTCGATAGATACATTACAACTATCAATGTGTGCTCTACCCCATTATGCATTGCAATCCGAATTGTCCTTATCCCCACAACCTCACAGACTACGTTTTTCCTCATCAGAGTTATGCTACCATCCGGAGTCTGATAAGGAGTAAATTAGTTTCCATGAGGAGTCATATGATAGGAACACCTTGAATTAAAACCAATTTGTCTCTTGATGAACGATAGTCACACAAGACGACCTCTAGCATCACTTGTGCTCTCCTCCGCAACAATTGCCACACTACTTGTGGCATTTTGCCCACCGCCTTCATGTCTCAACTTTGGACAATCTCTTCTTATATGCCCCTCCTTATGACACTCAAAACACTTCACGCGACCCTTGGATTTTCTATGTCGCGACTTCGACCTCCTTTTACCTCTACCGCTAGGCCCCTAATGTGTATCTCTATCATGAATCACTAATCCCCACGCTATGTCCTGCGCTAGACCGTTATCTCACAACTTAATCCGTCACTTCTTAGAGAATAAAGTAGATTTAACCTCTTTTGAGGTAATAGTAGTACCCCTATGTAACAATGAATTAGTAAAGTGCTCCCATGATTTTGGTGGAGCCGCCAATAACATCATGCCTTGGTTTTCGTCAGCTAGAATCTCATCGACATTCTTCAAATCTATCATGAGTTTGTTAAACTCCTTTAGGTGGGTCGTGGTGGAAGTGCCTTTAGCATGTCGAAATTGAAACATCATCTTCAACATGTATAGGTGATTATTCAAATCATTCGTTACATAGAGAGCCTGAATTTTTGCCCACCAATGTGTGGTATTCCTCTCGTTGGCCACATCTATTAACAACTCATTCAATAGGTTCAACAGGTCTATACTCTTTGCCCTCTCCATGAACTTAGCCTTGCCATCCAACCCAAAGTTGTTAATAGCGCAAGCATCTCAATGCTTTACAACCTAAAGTTGTTACTCCCGTAAAATTTTTCAATTTTTAGTTTCGCTCCATACATAATAGCAAAGTTTCAACTCTAATACCAATTATAGTAAAATCGAGTGCAAAAACTGACTGGATCTTTACAATTAAATCAAGAGTGAGAGAGAACGAAATTGAAAGAGAAATAAAATGATGAACAATAAAGAATAAAAGTGATTTACGTGGCTCGGTCGAAGTGTCAATACCTACTCCACGAAGAGAGCTAGCTAGAATTAACCATCTAATCAATTGGAGAATTACACAATTATAATATTTATACACTCAAGTGTTTCCCAATTCTAAATTACACCCAATCCCACATTATTTAGCCTGACGTAATTTCTGGATAAAATAAATCACGAGAATTGCCTCACAACCAAAACACCTTTATTGTCTAACTCGGCACAAAATCCACGGTGTTTCAAGCGTCTCTCTTAACTTGTGTTAAGCTCCTCTTCGTGCGCTCATCAGAGAGTGTATTCTCTGTTCGGAGATTCTCTCTCTTCTATATTGAGCTCCTCTCTATTGTGCGATTAATAAGAGGGGCTTAACTTGGAGCTCATTTTCAAAGGTTTTGACTTGGCATATGGAGTCATTATTGTGCTAATAAAAGGAGAAATTAAAGCAAGCCCGCATGTTTTACGTTTTTTTCTCTGACAAATCTCAATATCAGCTGAAAAAGGAGCTCAAATATGTGGCCAAATAAAAGCTCCAATGTGTGTCGAAAAGAAGAGTCATGAAAGGCCAAAACAAGCTTGGGTACCTAGAAGCTTAAATGGACATGATTGTAGAAGGTGTTCTGGCTATAGACAGAGTATTGGTTCTACTAAGAGCCTCTACAATCATGAAAGAAAGATGCGTACTCTTTGTCAGTGTAATTTGAATTCAAATTGGTATTATACAACTGATATTAAGTATTGGAATCCACAAAAGGTTTACCATATTTGTGCAGGCAATAAAGGATGACAGGTTGTGGTAGAAGCAGAATTGGATACTTCAGGAAACTCTCTCTATGGAGCTGCAGAGTGAGTTCAACGGCTATAGATGACAGAATCAACTGCTACTTGTAGGATTTGAATTTAAAAGTGTCTTTTGAGATCTCATGGCTATAAATTGAACCCAAGGAAGTAGTAGAGTGAGGGGATAATGAACACGAGTCTATGCTCCGAGTGTTTATCTCCTTGCTGTTCTTGTGTGTAGAAGCTGTGTAAATCTAATTGTATTTTTCTGTAGAAGTTTGAGCATCTGTAATTAGAGAATAGAGTGTGAAGTGTGGTGAAGATGGCTTGTATTTGTAGAAGCAGAGCTACAAGTAAAAGAAACATCTTCAGACGCTATAACATTTCGAGGATTACATAGTGAATTCCAGCCTTGATTTGGGCTGTTAGAGTTGGGAGATTGGAGTAGGCCAGCTAAATAGGCCGTGTGGATAGGCAGAAGGGAGATGATATGATTAATAAAGCTCGGCGTGCATCTTCCTCCCAACAGTTTATAAATTTGTATCATCCTAATAACCACATTTTGTGCAGGGAAGAGAATAATTTATGACGAAGTTATTGCATGAACCGTTAATTCCTAATTCTAAAAACCGTACCGGGGCCACTATTGCAGTCCCAGGGATTAGCTCCATGTGGGCAATAGCACAGGAAGTCTCTGTCTCGTGATCGTCCACATCGGCCACCGCTGTCTTGACAACCAGAACAACTCTTGTTAGTCAATAAATCCCATTTTAACTGGAACCCGTTCTCCAACAGCTCCTTGTAGTCGACATCTTTGATAGTTTGATTAGAGAACCCTCCCCCCAGTTGTACTGGTACCATTGCAAATGACTGGCAGAATCCACTTTGCAGATGGAAAGTGCCATTAGGAAGTAAAGCAACAGAGCCGTTGTATGTGACGTTAGAAGTACAATTCACAGGGGATATTGGGAAGGAAAAAGAAGTGTTGATGCAGTCATAGAAGAACCATAATTTGATGAAGAGAATCACTCTTCTTTAGGAAGACGTTTACGGGAAGTAAATTGAAGGGAGGAGGAACAAAGCAAGAATTATCCCTTTGGCTTACTAGATGGATGGAACTCTCACTGTAGGAGATGCTTTTAACTGAGAAGGGACCATACATAGTTTTTGTTCCTTCGCACTTGAGCTCAAATCCAGGGTAACCGCATAATTCTCTTCCTTCTTCAGGAATATAAAAGGGATAGCTTATGTTCGGACGGTTGCCTCCACAATTGCGAGATTCGCACACTTCATATGACACTTCATTTGATGATGACTCAACAGGATCTTCTAAGATGGCAATGAAGAAGACGCAGAACGCCGTGCAAACTAAGCCTCGTGTGTAAGTGCAGTATATGCCCATCCCGGAATTTCGATCTGGTTTTAGTTTGGAACATACGAATTTTTCTTTTTGGATATCAATGCTCTAGAATGGAATGGAACAGCATGAAGAAGAAGAAGAGAAAGAAGAAGAAGAAGCTGTTTGATTCCTCACGTGAAAGTGAAAAGAAGGCCCTTGTTAATGGCAATTCCTTCTGCTGGTCTCGTGAGATCAGCTCTGCTTAAACACGGCAGTCGACTTGGAAAGAGGACGGGAAGACTAGAACAAGAGACTTTTAGGAAGAGCCAGGTCTAGACAGAGACACCCAAGGGAGCAATGCCATCCATCACTTTTACCTCTTTGATGATGATAGGTCGGGGAAATGTGAAGTCCTGCAATTAGTGAACTTCCGCAAATCTTGCCCCGATTGACCAGTTATTCCAAGAGTTGACTCCTATTTTCATGTATCCCCTCAAGTTGGATCCTTCACAAGAGGATAATGAGAAAATAAAAATAAAAACCCAGAAACTTTTATCCCCTGTCATGCTGATTAAAATCAAACCAAATAAGCTAGATTAGGAAAATAAGTTCAAGAAAAAAAGATCAGTGGGTCTTTGACAATTAGAGGTCTCTGTTTGAAAATTAATTTCAAAGAAGTACCAGGAGTTAGTTCTAGGAAACAGTGAGAAATTCCAAAAAAGTAAATACCAAGCACAATGAGCACGGACAGCAAAAATCGTTGGCCTACCCGAGAAAGTTTCTCGAAAGGATTTTGTTGACACCTAAGTTTTAGTCGACAATTCAAATATTCATTCTTCTAAAAGTACAAAAATAAAAAATAGCAAAATAATAATAAAAATAAATCAATAAAAAAATAATTAAATACATAACAAATGAAAAAGTGATGACCAAAACAAGAAAAAAAAATAAGTGATAAAAAGGAGGTTTTCTTTTTCAGTACGGGCTCTTGAACCGTTTGAATGAACGTTAGCCCATTAAAACATTTGGATTCGATTTCTGCTATTTTTTTTTCTGGTCAAATATTTCTGCTATTCATTTAGTGGAGAAAATTACCAAAAAAAATCCAAATTTTATTACATTTTTGCTAATTCAATTTTGAATTTTGTAAATATATCAATTGAGTTTTAATCATTTTCATCTTTTTGTCAATTGAGTACATCTGACCAATTTGGCAAAAAAATTGCTGACGTGAACGTTGGCACTCACGTGGAATTATTATTATTATTAAATTTTAAATGTTTTTTTTCGAATTTTGTAATTATTATTATTATTTTTAAAGCCTGATAGAAAAGAGATAAGGGATGGTTTTCTTAACGGCCTGATCCGTCGGTCATCTTCGCCATCACCGATTTCTGCGAGTATCAGAAATGCGCCGTTCCTTTACAGTGACCGAGAGCTTCGAGCGGTTTCAACCTCGTTCAGAGATTGCTTTCAGATTTCAATTCTGATCATCCTCATCGCCGCTCGTCGCTGCCTGTTACCGCTGAGAATCCCTTCACTGCTCTTCTAACGTTATGCCGTCCTTTCTCGGCATTCCGGATTTGCGCCTTTTCCTGCTCTGCTTCTCCCTGTTCCACGACCGGGAAATTCGCGGAAGTTATCCTCGCGTTTAATCCTTCAATATAACTTCCGACCCTCAGTGGTGACATTTCCAGAACGTCCTCGCTTGGATTTTCTCATCACTGCTCGGAGCTAGGAATCAAGCTTGATAGAGGTGAGTTCAATATCTGTTGCTCCCGGTCATAGTTTTAGAATGAAAACAGAGACTGAGACTCCATACATTGTCAATCTAAAATCTGAAATGATCGAGGCTGAGTTGATGATTTATGTTAGCGCTTACTGTGACGGAATGAAATGAATCGTTTCCGCAAACTCATATATAACTAATCAACTAGCCAGCCCACCATATGTTCAACAAAATGCCCGAACTGAGTCCTTAGTCCGTATTGATTAGTCCTTGATCCTGACCTGTTTTGAGTGTATAATGATATGTCAGACATGAATGCAACTTTTTGTTGATGGCTAAGCATGATTTTCTACCGCATATTATATCCACCGAGACCAAATTTGAGCAATTTCTTTATGATTGTGTTTGCTCGGTGTTTACACGTCTTCCTGCGCCGTTCAATGATGGTCATCAGCGAGGAGACACTCAAAAATCGACAGTCCGAGGGTTAATTTTTAAGCTCAATTGTTCCGGTTTGTTCATCACATCCTTTTATCCGATCGTGTCCCTGTTTTTGTTCTCTGCGTCTGGCTGTGGCCGACGTATATTGATGACTCTGTAGTGGCCGACGGTGGAGGTTTGATAACAAGTATAGGTAGATTAACGGAGATGAATATATGTTCATGCTTTGATGATTTGGTAGACGGATCTTTGATTGTGTTTTGGGTGTTCTCACTACTATGAGGAAGACGATGAGAAAAAAGAAATAGAAAAGAAAAAAAAAAGAAGAAAAATGCATATTAACAAGTATGAAAAAAGGAAAAAAACATAAAAAACTCCAAACCATTCTCAATGTGATACATTTACCCGTTTTTTGTGACATCAAAAATCCCAAATTATGGCCACCGTAACATATTTTTTCCAAATTTTTTCTTTTAACATAAAAAACTTAAAACTTGTACCTATGCGACATATTTACCTTCCATCAAGGTTTCGTCAGATGATTTTTTAACCAAAATAACGTTTTTATTTCACTTAAATCATGTCGGTACCACGTCAATACGGTTTGCTTTATGGCGTCCAAGTAGGCAGATTTTCAAATGTTCCCATTGAAGGAACTTTGAAGAAAGTTAAATGTGTCGTGAATGTACAAGTTAGGGATTTTTTGTGCCATAGAAAAAAATTATGGTAAATGTGTCACGGTAGGCATAGTTTAGAGTTTTTGGTGATTTTTGTCCTAAAAATGACTTGGGTAAAAAAAAACTTGGGTGTAACTACAATTGAATCCATTAAAGGGGGAGATTCCACAAAGAAACACAAGTCATGAAATGAAACAAATAACTATAAAGGGCAGGGAAAGAAAGCAAATGACTATAAGAAAAGTTCATGAGTTGCAATAGCAATTGCTCAGTTAGATCATAAGCTGATTGGCCTATAAGCGGCTCTTAGCCTATTATATCCATTTGATAAGTCCCTTGAGAAGATGTAAGAACTACTCTCTGAAAAGTCACAGCAATGTTAGCGGTAAGAAGGCAGTGTTTGAGCCAGTGATTATGTCAATTGAAGTTTTCAAACCGATACCCTTACTTAGAGCTTATTTGGTGTGAAATGCAGTTACGTACGTTTGCTGATATTGTCAAGCAATGCCACTAGCTGATCACATGCTGAAGAGAATGTGCCTAAAGAGAAGAAGAGTATAGTACTATAGTAGCAGTGGAGTAATAACCAGACTAGAGTCTCGCCAAATGTATAGAGAATCCCTTTTGCCTGTGATTAAGACTACTAGAACTAGTCATTAATCTATATCCAGTTAGGCCATTGTCTTATATTTGTGTCCCTTGCATGGATGTTTGGGGGTTCAATTTTTGCCAAGAATCTAAGGGCAGTTAGGAGAAAGCCAAAAGTTTTGTTCCGTTTTGGATAGGACTCGTACTCGAATGTTTATTTCTAAACCTGTCCTCCTATCCAAGCCTGCCCTACCAATAGAGAACCAATTGTATCTGCGTCCTCCCTGGGCTGCACATGACTTTATGCATGGTCTATCCGAATGGCTCACAGGACGACAATCGCTAGAAGAGAATACGGAAAATTCTTGAAGATGTCTCATTGAGGATATTTGCAAGGAAAGGTTGCGGTTGCGGCTAGTGGCATTTTGATCTAATGATTGCATTGAAACTATTAGTGATGAGTATTCTCCTTTCTAGGAACTCAATTCCTGCGAAAACCCCAAAATTACATGGGCAAGTTAAAATTGAGATTATCAATTAACCGGAGAGAACAATATTGCTCCCTTCAAGTAAAGGATTCTAACCAATTGAAATGAATTGACGGATAAGTCACCCTTATTGCCAATCTCCAAGTTTCCCCTCCAAAAATTTTCTCCAGCCTGTTTCAATTAAGGGGTTAATGGAAAGAACATTAAGTTCTACCTACTATTGGACCCTCTATTCATTAGTATCTTTATTTTGATTACCACTCATTGTATTTGGTTTGGTATTATGACTGCGCTTGACTTTGAGAGTCGTGATGATATTATTGAGGAACTGTCTTATCAGAATAATTTTCCTTTGTACAACATCGAATTGAACCATAGACAAACTTGGATTTGCGATCCTAGGTATCTAATCTCCTGATCCTGCAGAGAAGAAAAAGAGTGTGGGCGGATTAGTACGAGTGGAGAGAACTTTGAATCAAAAAACGACCTTAATGGCCATTTCCCTCTTTCCCTTTTCCACCCCCATGTTCACTTCAGCGAGAGACCTTATATGCATCTTGTCATATGTCAAGTCACCATGGTCATAAGTTTGAATGATTGTATCACAGAAGTTCAGTATAAGTCACAACCAACCATAGAGAAAGATGGTCTCTGAAGACTTTCCCTGTAATTGTTATCTATGTGTAGAATCTGCTCATATTTATATGCCGTTCTTTTTTTCGGCCAACCAATATATCCATGTGTCGTGTTGGATACTTCTAATGTAGTACGAAACAACAGTTAAACTAATAACCTCTATATGGTTCAATATCATGTGTAAGCTAGATTGACAAAAGTGCTTTATTACCATGTCCATGCCTTCAGATTTCGACCCAGCACTTAAATCAGTAACGTCTCAACATATATGACTGCTCACTTGCATTCACGTATGTACAGTATGTGACAAACGGCTACATGGATAATCTAACCATCAACACCAGGAGCAGAACTGCTGCTGCTACCCCATTTTTGAGTCACAGAAACTGGAGAATGGGTCGATCGCATATTCTTCAGTAGCTGTGAATCGTCATAATCCGGAGGAGATGGAGCAAGGACACCTTCACCCTTATCCGCATCAACAAATATGTCCGCAGCATTATCATCGCACGCGATCGCCTTCAGTTCCTCCAAAACCTCATCCATGGGAGGCCTCATTTCCTTGTCCAGTTGCAAGCACAGGAAAGCTAACTCGGCCACCGAAGTTGTCATCCTATTGATTTCGCTATCTGACTCAAATCCTAGATTTGGGTCGATCAATTCGCCAAACGCGCATTTCTGAATCTTGTTAATAGCAAAGTTGGCCAAATTAATCTCGTGCCTTTCTCTTCTTTTGTCCACAGCTGGCTTGGATGATACAAGCTCGACCAGAACAACTCCGAAGCTATAGACGTCACTCTTCTCCGTGAGGTGGTAGCACTGATGGTACTCGGGGTCCACATAACCTGGAGTCCCTTGAGGAGCTGTCGAGATATGAGAGACATCATCGGGGAAAAGCCTCGAAAGCCCAAAATCTGCAACTTTAACCCCAAAATTCTTGTCGAGGAGGAGGTTATTTGTTTTCACATCACGGTGGACAATGTCAGAAGCATGGAGGTAAGCCAACGCAGTAGCAGTCTCTATGGCTATGTCCATACGGATTTTCCAAGGCAATGTACTAGAAGAGTTTGCTCGCTGGCCATGGATATGATCAGCAACAGTTCCATTGGAGATGTACTCATAGACAAGTAGAAGCTCACGGCTGTGGCGAGAAGTGCAACCGTACAGAGACACAAGGTTTTTGTGTTGCAAACGGGTTAGGATCTCTACCTCATTCATGAACTGCTTTACCCTCCGGTAGCTGCGCTCGTATAGGCGCTTCACTGCTACTTCCCGTCCATCTCGAAGTTTTCCTGTTAAGAATATTGTAGAAAATGTCTTTCAGTTGAGGATCCCTTGGAGGAATAATGAAGGAACATTTTCTCACCGTAGTAAACAGTTCCAAAACCTCCATCTCCAAGTTCATTGGAAGCAGAGAAGTTATTTGTGGCTTCTTCAAGTTCGGCACCGGTGAAAATGGGGACTTCAAAGTAGACACTGCTCTCTTCCATGTCTGAATACGAATGAGGATATGGGGTGCTATTTCTCAAATGGAACTTCAAAGAAGCATTCTTCCTTTTTAAGTGGATCACATAAGAGAACAGGACAATGGCCAAGCTTCCGATTCCAATACCTGATGCACGAACAGATAATTAACCCTTTTTATAGGATAATTCTTTTTGTGCTGTTTCCTAGAACATATGGTTTATGTTGGCTGGAAGCATGAACAGATGGTCAAGCTTTTAGGGCAAAGTAAGAAGATTTGGGTCCAGCCGACTTTGATTTGATCAGCATTGTGAAAATGGTTTGCAGTAAAAACCAGAAAGGATACTTCAGCAACAAGGTGATCTTGTTTGTGTTGTTTTATCGTGTCAAACTGGGAGTAGATTGTCCTAGTTATGCTTTGGTTTGTTCAAGTCGGCGGAGGCATTGTGATAGCAGACGAGAAACTAAGAAAAGGAAATTACCTGGTCCTATCGTCCACCACAAACGTCTATTTCCTGCATCAAAGTTGAAAAGGCAGATTGGTCAATTGAGGGAAAGGATGGCGAGATAGCATCTAGCTCATAAATCAGCTTACATAAACAGACGATTAGAGAATAATAGGAGGGAGAATAGCCACAGCCTGTACTTTCATTCATCCGAATCGAATTTGATCTAAAATCAATGCACAACCTACCCCAACATGCATGGCAGAGCTACTTCCAAATACCAAGTGGAGTAACTTATATTTGCCATTCATAATGAGGTGTGTCAACTACTTGTGCATTTTATTGGCAAACAAGAGTCCTATATATACATCTTCCTGAAATGAGAAGTCAGTTAAATTGTCATAAGATCTCTATTCTAAAGGTTCTGCAAAAGTATTCATGAGGTTGCACAAATGCAAAATGATAACTTAGAATGGAAAGAAAACATGTATACCAATTGTGTACTATCCTACTGAAGGAACGCCAAAATGGAAATGTAAACTGATAGATTGAATGTGAGAAATGGACATAGAGCTCTGGTGTGGGATTTCTATGGTTAAGTGCAATTGTATCCGTTCTCTCAACTAATACTGTTTGGAAAGATGCCTCTAATATTTTTAGGATGACAAAACATTTTAAGTGTACTAACATGTGCAATTGAGTGTGAAGAAGATATTAGTAAATTCATATGAAGATGGTGTTAGCAATTGGACATCTAAGAGTGTAGAACGACTTTTGCTCTAGGCGAGGAACAAGCTATTGGATGTGAGCTATGTTGACAACTAGATGGACATTGCAAACGGCGAACAAGTTATTAGACAAGGAATATGTCGATGTTCGAAACGACCTTGTGGATGGTGAACAAACTAGAGGATGTGTGATTGGCAAAAAGGTTTGGATGGACTAATAGAAGACGAACAAACCAAACGACATGAAGACGTCAATAAGCTCGGTTGGACCTTGTGAGCCTTGAACAAACTAGAGGGCATGTGGTCGTTGAAGAGTTTCGATAGACCAAATAAAAAGTGTATAGTCTATAGAACACAAGGACGTTAGTATGCTTGAAGGTGCCTAAATGTTGTAGGCAAACAAGCCTAGGTATGTAGAAGCTTAAATGGACCCGATTGTAGAAGGTGTTCTTGCTATGGACAGAGTATTGGTTCTACTAAGAGCCTCTACAATCATGAAGGGAAGATGCGGACTGTTTATCAATGTTATTTGAATTCAAATTGGTGTTATACAACTTATCTTAAGTATTGGAATCCACAAAAAGTGGACTAAAGAAGATTAAAACAATTTACCATATTTGTGTAGGTAACAGAGGATGACAGGCTGTTGTAGAAGCAGAACTGACTACTTCAGTAAACTCTCTATGGAGCTACAGAGTAAGTTCAGTGGCTATAGATGACAGAATCAACAACTACTTGTAGGATTTGAATTTAAAACGGTCATTTGAGATCTCATGACTAAAAATTCAACCCAATGAAGTAGTAGAGTTAAGGGGAAACGAACAAGAGTCTATGCTCTGAGTGTTCATCTTCTTGTTGTTCTTGTGTGTAGAAGCTGTGTAAATCTAGTTGTATTTTTCTATAGAAGTCTGAGCATCTGTAATTAGAGAATAGAGTGTGAAGTTTAGTGAAGATTGCTTGTATTTGTAGAAGCAGAGCTACAAGTAAAAGAAACATTTTCAAACGCTATAACATTTCAAAGATTACATAGTGAATTTCAACCTTGATTTGGGCTGTTAGAGTTGGGAGAATGGAGCAAGCCAGCTAAATAGGCCAAGTGGATAGGCTGAAGGGAGATGATATAATTAATAAAGCTCGGCGTGCATTTTCTTCCTAACAGTTATAAAATTTGTATCATCCTAATAAACACATTCTGTTCAGAGAAGAGAATAAATAATGACGAACTTATTGCATGATCCGTTTACTGGTAATTATAAAAACCTTACCGCCGCCACTGTTGCAGTCCCTGGGATTATTGGTTCCATGTGGGCAATAGCACAGAAAGTCTGTGTCTCGTGATCGTCCACATCGGCCTCCACTTTCTCGACAACCAGTACAAATCTTGTTAGTTAATATATCCCATTTTAACTGGAAGCCATTCCCCAACAACTCCTTGTAGTTGACATCTTTGATAGTTTGATTAGAGAACCCTTCCTTCAGTTGTACTGGTACCGCTGACACTGACAGGCAGGAATTATTTTGGCGATAGAAGGTGCTATTTGGAGGTTTTAATGCAACAGAGATGTTGTATGTGGCGTTAGAAGTACAACTCACGGGGGATGTTGGGAAGGGAAAAGAAGAAGGGTTGGTGCAGTTATAGAAGAACAAGAGTTTAGGATGAAGAGAAAAACTGTTGTTTAGGAAGATGTTTATGGGAACGAAAATGAAGGGACGAGGAGCAAAGCAAGAAGTATCCCTTTGCCTTACTAATTCGATGGAACTCTCCTCGTAAGAGATGCTTTTAACTGTGTAGGTAGCATACGTAGCTTTTGTTCCTTCACAAGTGATCTCAAATCCACGGTAACCGCATAATTCACGTCCTTCTCCAGGAATATAAAAGGGATAGCTTATGTTCAGACAGTTGCCTTTACAACTGCGGGTTTTGCACACTTCATATGACACTTCATCCAACGACGACTGGACAGAATCTTCTAAGATGGCAATGAAAAAGATGCAGAACGCTGTGCAAACTAAGCCTCGTGTGTAAATGCAGCGTAGACCCATATCTGGATTTCGATATGGTTTTAGTCTGAAGCATACGAAGTTTCTTTTCTTTTTGGATATCAATGCTCTAGAATGGAATGGAACGGCATGAAGAAGAAGAAGAAAAAGAAGGAGGAGAAGAAGTTGTTTGATTCCTCACGTGAAAGTGAAAAGAAAACCCTTGTTATTGGTAATTCCTTCTGCTGGTCTTGTGAGATCAGCTGCTTAAACACGGCAGTTGACTTGGAAAGAGGACGGGAAGACTAGCACAAGAGACTTTTAAGAAGAGCCAGGTCGAGACAGAGACACCCAAGGGAGCGATGTCATCCATTATTACCTCTTTGATGATGATAGGTCGGCGAAATGTGAAGACCTGCAATTAGTGAACTCGCACAAATCTTGCCCCGATTGACCAGTTATTGCAAGAGTTGACTCCTATTTTCATATATCCCCTCAAGTTGGATCCTTTACAAGAGGATGATTGAAAAAAAAGTAGAAACCCAGAAACTTTTATCCCCTGTTATGCTTATTAAAATGAAACTGGGGATAAGTACATTCAAAGTCTTAAAACTTGTCACGAAAGTATAAATAAGTCCTAAAACTTGTCAAATTGGTTCAATCAAGTCCTTCCGTTGATTGTACTTTTTGAAAGTTTTAGGACTTGTTTGCACTTTTTGAAAAATTTTAGGACTCAATTGCATTTTTGTGACAAGTTTTAGGACTTCTAGTGCATATATCCCATGAAACTAAATAAGCTAGATTAGGGAAATAAGTACAAGAAAAAAAATCAGTGGGTCTTTGACAATTAGAGGTCTCTGTTCAAAAATTAATTTTAAAGAAGCAGCAGCAGGAGTTAGTTCTAGGAAAAAGTGGGAAATTCCATAAAAATGAGGGAAAAAGCCACTAAAAACCTCAAATTTTGCCATCCGTGACACATTTACCCCGAACTTTTTTTTGTGACACCAAAAACCCCGAACTTTACTTTTTGTGACACATTTACCTCAATGTATTTAATCCATGGGCATTTTTGTCTTTTTTGCTTTTTCATTTTTTTTTCATTTTTTTTCCTTTCCGGCGAGGGGGGCCTCGCCAGCGTCGGGCGAGGGCTACCCTCGCCGGCGTCGAGCGAGGGCGGCCCTCGCCAGATCCGGCGAGGGCGGCCCTTGCCGGCGTCGGGCGAGGTTCGCCCTCGCTGGGCGAGCGAGGGCGGCCCTCGCCGACTCGAGCGAGGTTGACCCTCGCCGGCGTCGGGCGAGGGTCGACCTCGCCGGAAAGAAAAAAAAAGAAAAAAGCAAAAAAGACGAAAATGCCCATAGACTAAATACATTGGGGTAAATGTGTCACAAAAAGCAAAGTTCGGGATTTTTGGTATCACAAAAAAAAGTTCGGGGTAAATGTGTCACAAATGGCAAAGTTTGGGGTTTTTGGTGGTTTTTTCCCTAAAAATAAATACCAAGCACAATGAGCATGAACAACAAAAATTGTTGGCCTACCTGAGAAAGTTTCATAAGAGGGTTTGGTTGATACTTAAATTTTAGTCGACAATTCAAGTATTCATTATTCTAAACGTACAAAAATAAAAATAGAAAAATAATAATAAAAATAAATCAATCAAAAAAGTAATTAAATACACAACAAATGAAAAAGTGATGACCAAAAAAAGAAAAAAAAAGTGATAAAAGGAGGTTTTCTTTTTCAGCACGGGCTCTGAATCGTTTGAATAAACCTTAGCCCATGAAAACATTTGGATTCGATTTTTGCTATTCATTTAGTGGGAAAAATTACAAAAAAAGTCATAAATATATTGTACTTTTTTCAATTTAGTCTTAAACCTTTCAAATATATCAATTGAGTCCTAAATCTTTTCACTATTTATCAATTGAGTCTATCTAGCCAATTTAACTAAAAATCGCTGACGTGGATGTCGGAACTCACGGGGAAATTTTTAAATATTTTTTTTTCGATTTTTTTAAATTATTATTATTATTTTTAAAGCCCGATAGAAAAGGGATTAGGGAAGGTTTTCTTAACGGCCTGATCCGTCGGTCATTTTCGCCATCACCGATTTCTGCGAGCATCAGAAGTGCTCCGTTCCTTTGCAGTGATTGAGAGCTTCGAGCGGTTTCAACTTTCGACCTCCTTCGGAGATGACGCTGACTGCTACCGCTGAGAATTCCCCACACTACCCTCCTGACGTATTAGCCTTCGTCGCCCTCGTTTCTTGGCATTCCGTATTTGTACCTTTTCCTGCTCTGCTTCTCCCTGTTCCACGACCGGGAAATCCGCGGAAGTTATCTCGCGTTTAATCCTTCAATATAACTTCCGACCCTCATTGGTGAAATTTCCGGAACGTCCTTGCTTGGATTTTCTCATCACTGTTCGGAGCTAGAAATCAAGCTTGATAAAGGTGAGTTCATTATTTGTTACTCTCGGTGATAGTTTTAGAATGAAAACAGAAACTGGGACTTCATACATTGTCAATCCAAAATCTGAAATGATCGAGGCCGGGTTGATGATTTAGGTCTCTGTTAGTGCTTATTGTGATGGGATGAAATGAATCGATACGGTAAACTTATATTTAATCTAAGAAACTAAGTTGCCCACCATATGTTCGACAAAATGCCAGAACTGAGTCTGTATAGATTAGTCCTTGATCCCGACCTGTTTCGAGTGTATAATGGTATGTCACACGTGAATGCAACTTTTTGTTGATGGCTAAGCATGATTTTGTACCGCATTTTATTTCCACCGAGACCAAATCTGAGCAATTTCTTTTTGATTGTGTTTGCTCAGTGTTTATACGTCTTCCTGCTGCGTTCAATGATGGCCATTGGTGAGGAGCCGCTAAAATATCGACAGTCTGAGGGTTAATTTTTATGCTCAATTGTTCTGGTTTGTTCATCACATCCTTTTATCCGATCGTGTCCCTGTTTTTGTTCTCTGCATCCGTGGTGGCTGTGGGCGGTGTATGTTGATGACTAATTTGGTGGACGACTGTGGAGGTTTGATAACAAGTATAGGTAGATTAACGGAGATGAATATATGTTCATGCTTTGATGATTTGGTAGACGGATCTTTGATTGTGTTTTGGGTGTTCTCAAGCACTATGAGGAAGACGATGAAGGCATTATAATGAGAAAAAAGAGTTAGAAAAGGAGAAAAATTAGAAAACGCATATTAAAAGGTATAAAAAAGAGGGAAAAAAACTATAAAAACTCCAAATTATTCCCAATGTGATACATATACCCCTTTTTGTGACATCAAAAACTTTAAAATATGCTCACTGTCACATATTTATTCTAAACATTTTCTTTTGATATAAAAAATCCGAAATTTGTACCTATGCGATACATTTATCTTCTGTCAAGGTTTCTTCAGAAGATTTTTTAGCCAAAATCACGTTGCTTTTATTTCACTTAAGTCAAGTGGGTGTCATGTCAACACTTCTGGTGTTCATGTAGGCAGATTTTTAAATGTTTCCATTGACGGAACTTTGAAGGAAGATAAATGTGTCACGAAGGTACAAGTTTGGGATTTTTTGTGCCACAGAAAAAAAAATTAGGGTAAATGTGTCACGGTAGGCATAGTTTAGAGTTTTTGGTGGCTTTTGTCCTAAAAAGACTTGGGTAAAAAAAAGTTGACGCTAACTATAGTTGTATCCATAAAAGGGGGAGATTCTACAAAGAAACACAAGTCGTGAAATGAAACAAATAATTATAAAGGGCAGGGAAAGAAAGCAAATGATTATAAGACAAGTTCATGAGTTGCAATGGAATTGCTCAGACAGATCAGAGGCTGACTGGCCTATAAGCGGCTCTTATATCCATTTGGTAAGTCCCTTGAGAGTATGTAAGAACTACTCTCTGAACAGTTATGGCAATACAGTGGTAAGAAGGCAGTGTTTGAGCCAGTGATTATGTCAATTGAAGTTTTCAAATTGATACCCTCACTCAGAGCTTATTTGGTGCAAAATGCAGTTACGTAACGTGTGCTGATACTGTCAAACAATGCCACTAGCTCATCACATGCTTAAGAGAATATGCCTAAAGAGAAGAAGAGTACAGTACTATAGTAGAAGGGGAGTAATAACCAGATTAGAGTCTCGCCAAATGCATAGAGAATCCCTTTTTGCCTGTGATACTAGCACTAGCCATTGAATCTATATCCAGTTAGGCCGCTGTCTTATATTTGTGCCCCTTGCATGGATGTTTGGGGGTTCGATTTTTGCCAAGAACCTAAGGGCAGTTAAGAGATAGCCAAAAGTTTTGTTGCATTTTGGATAGGACTCGTACTCGAATATTTGTTTCTAGACCTGTCCACCTATCCAAGCCTGCCCTATCAATAGAGAACCAATTGTATCTGCGTCCTCCCTGGGCTGCACGTGACTTTATGCTTGGTCTATCTGAATGGCTCACGGGATGACAATCGCAAGAAGAGAATGCGGAAATTTTTTGAAGATGTCTCATTGAGGATATTTGCAAGGGAAGGTTACGGCTAGTGGGATTTTGAACTAATGATTTCATCGAAACTATTAGCGATAAGTATTCTCCTTTCTAGGTACTCAATTCTTGGGAAAACACCAAAATCGTATGGGCAAGTTAAAATTGAGATTATCAATTAACTGGAGAGAACAATATAGTTCCCTTCAAGTAACGGATTCTAACCAATTGAAATGAATTGACAGATAAGTCACCCTTACTGCCACTCAACAAGTTTCCCCTCCAAAAATTTTCTCTAGTCTGTTTCAATTAAGGGGGTAATGGAAAGAACATTTAGTTCTACCTGCTATGCATCTTATCATATGTCAAGTCACCATGGTTATAAGCTTGAATGATTGTATCACAGAAGTTTAGAATAAGTCAAAACCAACCATAGAGAAAGATGTTCTCTGAAGACTTCCCTATAATTGTTATCTTTGTCTTGAATCTGCTCATGTTTATACGTCGTTCTTTTTTTCGGCTAACCAATATATCCATGCCGTGTTGGATACTTTTAATTGGAGTACCAAACAACAGATAAACTAAATAACCTATATATGGTTCAATATCATGTGCAAGCTAAATTGACAAAAGTGCTTTATTACCATGTCCATACCTGCAGATTTCGACCCAGCACTTAAAGCAGTAACTTCTCGACATATATGACTGCTCACTTGCATTCACGTGCGTAAAGTATGTGACATACGGCTACATGGATAATCTAACGATCAACACCAGGAGCAGAACTGCCACTGCTACCCCATTTTTGAGTCACAGAAACTGGAGAATGGGTCAACTGCATATTCTTCAGTAGCTGGGAATCGTCATAATCCGAAGGAGATGGAGCAAGGACACCTTCACCCTCCTCCGCATCAACAAATATGTCCGGAGCATTATCATTCCACGCGATCGCCTTCAGTTCCTCCAAAACCACATCCATTGGGGGCCTCATTTCCTTGTCCAGTTGCAAGCACAGGAAAGCTAACTCGGCCACCGAAGTTGTCATCCTATTGATTTCGCTATCTGACTCAAATCCTAGATTTGGGTCGATCAATTCCCCAAACGCGCATTTCTGAATCTTGTTAATGGCGAAGTTGGCCAAATTAATCTCGTGCCTCTCTCTGCTTTTGTCCACAGCTGGCTTTGATGATACAAGCTCGACCAGAACAACTCCGAAGCTATAGACATCACTCTTCTCCGTGAGCTGGTAGCACTGATGGTATTCGGGGTCCACATAACCTGGAGTCCCTTGAGGAGCTGTTGAGATATGAGACACATCATCGGGGAATAGCCTCGAAAGCCCAAAATCTGCAACTTTAACCCCAAAATTCTTGTCAAGAAGGATGTTATTTGTTTTCACATCACGGTGGACAATGTCAGAAGCGTGGAGGTAAGTCAATGCAGTAGCAGTCTCTATGGCTATGTCCATACGTATCTGCCAAGGCAATGTAGTAGAATAGTTTGCTCGCTGCCCGTGGATATGATCAGCAACGGTGCCATTCGAGATGTACTCATAGACAAGTAGAAGCTCACGGCTGTGGCGAGATGTGCAACCGTACAGAGACACAAGGTTTTTGTGTTGCAAACGGGTTAGTATCTCTACCTCATTCATGAATTGCTTTACCCTCCGGTAGTTCCACTCATATAGGCGTTTCACTGCTACTTCCCGTCCATCTCGAAGTTTTCCTGTTAAGAACATTGTAGAAAATGTCTTTCAGTTGAGGATCCCTCGGAGGAATAGTGAAGGAACATTTTCTCACCGTAGTAAACAGTTCCAAAACCTCCGTCTCCAAGTTCATTGGAAGCAGAGAAGTTATTTGTGGCTTCTTCAAGTTCAGTACTTGTGAAAATGGGGACTTCAAAGTAGACATTGCTCTCTTCCATGTCTGAATTGGAGTGAGGATGTGAGGTGCTGTTTCTCAAATGGAACTTCAAAGAAGCATTCTTCCTCTTCAAGTGGATCATATAGGACAACAGGATGATGGCCAAGCTTCCAATTCCAATACCTGATGTACCAGGACATAATTAACTCGAGTCTTATATAGGAAAATGCTTTTAACTTTTGTGCCGTCTTAGGACATATGGATTATGTTGGCTGGAAGCATGGACAGATAGTTGAGCTCTTAAGACAAAGTAAGAAGATTACGGTACAACCGACTTTGAATTGATCAGCATTGTGAGATTGGTTTGCAGTAAAAACCAGAAAGGATACTTCTGTGATAAGGTGATCCTGTTTCTTTTGTTTTATCATGTCAACCTGTGAGCAGATTGTCTTAGTTATACTTTAGTTTGTTCAGGTCAGCAGAGCCAGTATGATAACTACAAAAAAGGAAATTACCGAGTCCTATCTTCCACCAACGTCCTTTTCCTGCATCGAAGTTGAAAAAGAAGATAGGTCAATTGAGGGGAAGGATGGCAAAATAGCCACAGTACTTTCATCCGAATCCTATTTCATATAAGATATATGCACAACCTACCCAACGAGAATGGCAGCAAGTTCCAAATATTAAGTGGGGTAACTTATATAGCCATTGCTAATGGGGTGGGTCAACTACTTGTGCATTTTATTGGTAAACAAGAGTCCTATATTGATCTCACAGAAATGAGAAGTCAGTTTCCTTAAAATAAGATGTCTATTCTGAAGTAAAGTCCTGCAAAAGTATTCATGAGGTTGCACAATGCAAAATGGTAACTTAGCATTGAAAGAAAACATGTATATCAATTGTAATGCCCCGGGTTTACACTGTGTAATATTATCCGCTTTGGTCCACTGATCCTCACGATTTTAAAATGCGTTACACAGATATAGAATCACAAGGCTTATAAGCCAGTCCAAGACTCCCCCCCTAGGCGATGTGGGACAAGAGAGGCTCCCTCTCCCTTCCATGCGCACGTCCGAGGACTGAGGCGCGGACGCACCGCCATCCCTCCTCCCCGCGCACTGCCGCCTGGGCCGTCACACTAATAGACTATTATCCCACCGAAGGAGATCCGAAATGGGAAGTGTAAACTGATAATTTGAATGTTTGAAATGGACATAAAGCTATGGCGTGGGATTTCTATGGTTAAGAAATTGTATCCGCTCTCTCAAGTCATAATGATAGGAAACATTCCTATAATATTTCGAGGATGACAAAATAAGTACACTAACATGTGAAATTGAGTGTGCAGAAGATATTGTCTTTCCATACTCGTTCATATGAAGATGGTCTTAGCAATAAGACGTCTAAGAGTGTAGAACGCCTTTTGTTTCGTAGAAGGTACAAAAGGGGGAGGAGAGCCATCCTCCGAGGGAGCGGTGGCAGACTTTTCTATTACATCCTCCGATGTGGCTACAGAAAGTAATTCAAGGGCAACATCCGATGAAGCAATGGCAGTTAAAAGTCAAAGCAATGGGCTTACTTCCTAGAGAACTACCAAGTTATTGGACGTGAGATATGTTGATGAGTGGGTGGACCTGGCAAATTGTTAACAAGTTATTAGACAAGTTATATGTTGATGTTCGAAAGGAACTTGTGGATGTTGAACATACTAGAGGACGTATCATCGTCAAAAATGTTTGGATGAACCAATAGAATGTGAAAGAACTAGAGGATAAGAAAACGTCAATAACCTTGAATGGACTTTGCATGAACTGTTAATTCATAACTCTAAAAACCTTACCGCCGCCACTATTGCAATCCTTGGGATGACTGAATCCATGTGGGCAATAGCACAGAAAGTCTGTGTCTCGTGATCGTCCACATCGACCTCCACTTTCTTGACAACCAATACAACTCTTGCTAGTTAATAAATCCCATTTTAACCGGAACCCTTTCTCCAACAATTCCTTGTAGTCGACATCTTCGATAGTTTGATTCAAGAACCCTCCCTCCAGTTGTACTGGTACCACTGCAAATGACGAGCAGGATCCAGAAATTTGTGCTTGGAAAGTGTCATTAGGAAGTAAAGCAACAGAGCTGTTGTATGTGACGTTAGAAGTACAATTCACAAGGGATGTAGGGAAGGGAAAAGAAGTGTTGGTGCAGTTATAGAAGAACAATAGTTGATGAAGAGAAGCAGTAATCTTCAGGAAGAAGTTTTCGGGACGTAAAGGGACGATGGAAGGAGGAAGAAAGCAAGAAGTATCCCTTTGGCTTACTAGTTCAATGGAACTCTCATTGTAGGAGATGCTTTTAACCGAGTAGGAACCATACATAGTTTTTGTTCCTTCACAAGTGATCGCAAATCCAGGGTAACCGCATGAGTCTCTTCTTTCTCTAGGAATATAAAAGGGATAGCTTATGTTCACATGGTTGCCTCCACAATTGCGGGGTATGCACACTTCATATGACACTTCATCCGATGACGACTCAACATGATCTTCTAAGATGGCAATGAAGAAGATGCAGAACGCCGTGTAAACTAAGCCTTGCGTGTAAGCATAGTGTAGACCCATCCCGGTCGATCTGGTTTTCGTTTGGAACATACGGAATTTTTTTTTTTTGGATATCAATGCTCTAGAATAATATGGAACATCATGAAGAAGAAGAGGAGAAAGAAGGAAAAGAAGAGAAAAGACGAGAAGAAGCTGTTTGATTCCTCATGTGAAAGTGAAAAGAAAGGCCTTGTTATTGGCAATTCCTTCTACTTGTCTTGTGATCTCATCTGCTTAAACACGGCAGTTGACTTGGAAAGAGGACAGGAAGACTAGAACAGTAGACTTTTGAGAAGAGCCAGGGAGTGACACTCAAGGGAGCAATGTCATCCATTACTTACCTCTTTGATACGTGAAGACCGACTGACAAGTTATTCCAAGAGTTGACTCCCATTTTCATATATCCCCTCAAGTGGATCCTTTACAAGAGGATAACGAAAAAAAAAGCCAAATACTTTTATCCCCTGTTTTGCATATTAAGATCAAACCAAATAAGCAAGATTAGAAAAATAAGTTTAAGAAAAAAAATTGGTTGGTCTTTTACAATTAGGCGTCGCTGTTTGAAAATTAATTTCAAGTATCCATTCTTGTAAAAGTTAAAAAAAATAAAAAATAGCAAGATAATAACAAAAATAAATCAATCAAATAAATAAATAAATAAATACATAACAAAATGAAAAAGAGATAGTGATAAAAAGGAGGTTTTCTTTTTCATTACAGGTTCTCGAACCTTTTGAATAAACCTTAGCCCATAAAAATATGGGTTAATATCACAAAAAACCCCCAAACTGATACACCTGTGACAAATTTACCCTCTATTAGTTTTTGATAAATTTTACCGTCAAATTACTGAGTTTATTGACACGTGGCAGTTGTCGGGTGTACCAGTTTAGGGTTTTACCCCTCAGTTTGTCATAGATTTATCATTTTGTAGTTTTTCGTAGTATTAATCCAATTTCACGAAGAGTAAATTTATCATAAGTGTACCAATTTAGGGTTTTTTATGGTAAAAAATTTAGTTCGGGGTAAATTTATCACAGATGTACAGTTTGGAGTTTTTCGTAGTATTAACCTAAAAACATTTGGGGATTCGATTTGTGCAATTCATTAATTATATTCAGCACTTGGGCTTATTAATTCCAAGCCTATGAAACGTAGGCAATGTATTCTGCCCATCATTGTCAGTCGAGGCCCATTCACCCATCAATTTGTTGGCCTAATTAAGCAGAAAAGAAAAGAGATCTGCGAAGGTTTTCTTCATGGCCACCATCACCGATTTCTGCGAGCGTCATAAGTGCTCCATTCCTTTGCTGTGACTGAGAGCTTCAAGTGGTTTCAACCTCGTTCAGAGATTGCTTTCAGATTCCAATCCTGATCATCCTCATCGCCGCTCGTCGCTGCCTGCTACCGCTGAGAATCCCTTCACTACTCTCCTGACGTTATTAGCCTTCGTCGCAGTCATTTCTCGGCATTCCGGATTTGCGCCTTTTCCTGCTCTGCTTCTCCCTATTCCACGACCGGGAAATTCGCCGAAGTTATCTCGCGTTTAATTCTTCAATGTAACTTCCGATCCTCATTGGTGACGTTTCTGGAACGTCCTTGCTTGGATTTTCTCATCACTGTTCGGAGCTAGAAATCAAGCTGGATAAAGGTGAGTTCAATATCTGTTGCTCCCGGTCATAGTTTTAGATCGTGTTGACACACAAAAAAATAATTAGGTCGTCGACAATAAAAATCCATATATTATAAAAAAATACTTGATGCGTGAGGCAAAGGCAAACACGCATATCATATATCATTTCGTTACGGAAATGAAGGGAAAAGATAAGATCGATGGAGATTATCTAAAGAATGAACTGTCAGACGTCATTAAGGAGCAGTTTTCAAACCTGGGCTGTAAATATCACTCGACAGCCACTGACAGGCGCCTCGCACAAATCAATAAAAAATGTTATCTTTTCATTACCTTTAAGCTCTCTGCAAGGTACTTTCAATTATTAGTTGTAGATCTTTATGATTCGACCATATTCGACTGTGTATCCATGTATTATGCCGTTGATGAGACTTGGACATGATATTTTGGTGTAAGTCAGTGTTTATCGTCACTGACCAGTGCCCGGTGGAGTTTGTTCGTATCAACTGTACAACTTGGCCTTGTTGTTGATCAAAATTGGGGCGGTTCAAGTTTGTAACATCTTGATTTAAGTAAGTGGATTCCTTTTCTCGCCCGAATATTTTCTATCCGGAATCGCCACAGAATCTGTCTCCTCTCATTAAAAGCCAAGAAATGAATTTCGGTGAAAGATAATTCATTGTGAGACCAATCTCAACAAAACAAAATGAAAACAGAACTTGAGACTTCATGCATTGTCAATCTAAAATCTGAAATGATCGAGGCTAAGTTGATGATATATGTTAGCGCTTATTGTGATGGAATGAAATACCGTAAACTCATATATGACTAATCAACTAAATTGCCGACGATATGTGTGACAAAATACCCAAACTAAGTCCGTATAAACACCGACAAATTTCTACTGCATTTTATTTCCACCGAGACCAAATTTGAGCAATTTCTTTTTGATTGTGTTTGCTCGGTGTTTATACGTCTTCCTGCGGCATTCAATGATGGTTATCGGCGAGGAGCAGCTAAAAAATCGACAGTCCGAGGGTTAATTTTTATGCTCAAATGTTCCGGTTTGTTCATCACATCCTTTTATCCGATCATGTCCCTATTTTTGTTCTCTGCATCTGTGGAGGCTATGGCCAGCGTATGTTGATAAATATGTGGCGGACGACGGTGGAGGTTTGACAACAAGCACAGGTAGATTAATGGAGATGATCATATGTTCAAGCCTTGATGATTTGGTAGACGGATCCTTTGATTGCGTTTTGGGTGTTCTCAGTAATATCAGGAAGACCATGAGAAAAAAAGAATTAGAAAAAGAAAGAAAGAAAAAACGCGTGTTAACAAGTACAAAAAAGACAAAGGGCCTATTATGATCATAAGTGAAAATACGCTTAGTATGGGCTGAGTTCAATTGTATTCAGAATTGGGTTTGGTATAGTGATAATAACAACAGGATTAGCGTGGGCTTGATGCAGTTGTGAAAAAAATGGGCTTAACATGGGAAAATTTTGATTCGGCCCCAGGAAGGTTAGAATTGGAGAGGGATGAATATAAAAGCCCGAATTATGCCCATTAGCATAGACCCGAGAGATCAGCGTGTGGCCCATTTTTGGACCGGACCCGGCCCGAGTCCCAATTTTCCAGAATTAAAAAATAGAAAAATTATTATAAAAATTTGAAAAATATAAAATTCGGAAAATTGGTTAGAAAAGTGGGCCTTGATTGGGTTGTTAATTTTAGTATTAGAATTAGTTTAGTTTCATTTTGACAGTACACACATGGTTTAGGAAAATTCATGATTTTCTCTAGTTTAGATATAAGAAAATTAAATTTGATCTGAAATTAGCTTATGTTTTGATATTTAAATATTATAATGTAAAAAATTTTGGGATCACCACCAATTGTTTTAAAAGTTTAAGCCGGTAGATGAAGACGTTGTTTAGTATTTAAATATTCCCATAAAGACAGTAGGACTTCTTGAGAAGTAGTTATGGCAATTGAACTCTAGTTTCTTCCTATTGAATGGCTTGACGTTTTGAGGCGAACATAAATGAGAGGAGCCTTGTAACAAGAGAAATAACAAGATTCATGTTCTAATAGCTTGATTCCCGATATTTCTAGTAATTTCTTGTTTGACATGAAAATTAATGCGGAATCACAAAAACAGATTGCTCAAAAAAGATGCCTGAGCAATGAGTTATGCGCTCTCTTGAAGTTTTGCGCACTCAAAACTTTTACACCTTGTAAAACATTGTACTCTCTTGAAGATCGTCTACTGAAATATTCATTCATTCTTATAAAAGAGAATACATCAGTTTTACCGGCATTGCAATTCTCGGTACTTGCTCTGGCGAAGTAATTACAAACACTGGCTTCATTTTCCAAAGTCCAATTTGCGCATGCCTCGATTGGCTACTCTGGCACGCGATAGTCATTTACCTTTACGGCGACGTTAATTGAAACCTGCGAAGACCTTCCCCGGAGCAGCTCTTCAGTTAACACCATTCACTGTTTCAGTCATCTGCCATTGATCTTGCTCTAGTTAAACCAATGAAGACAAAGATAGAGAATTGAATCTCTTGACGACTACAAATACTCGCCATACTCAAGCCTCAATGTGAATGCTTTGGCACTAATACGGCAGGAAACTTGCAGGATGGTTTTACCGACAGAAAATGAGTTGTCACTGTGGGTGCAGATAGATCCTGGCTTTGGCTGATGGTGTAAAATAAGGATTTTGACCAAGTCAAAAGGGCCAAAAAAAGAAACAGAAAAAAGGGCTCTTATTATAAAAAGGAAGAGAACAGTAATGGATAGAGAGAACGCGAGCAGAGAAGAGAGAAAGCAGAAGAAGAAGAAGGCGTTCACGATCTGGACACACCGATAAGCCGATTCAACTCCAAATTGCGATGCCCGGTAAGGATTCAAGCTGTTTATTCGTTTAATTGGAGTAATTTTTGGAATCACGGCTAAAATTAGAAATGAAGTGAAATTTAAGTTACGAGGTCTAATTTAAGAGTTGTTGAGCTAAGAAGTTATGGGTGAAAAATAGTTTAAGGTCCTGTGAAGTTATAACATTTTACAAAACTCGATTTAAGCTTATGGTTTGTCCAAAATGAATTTTTGAAATTTGGTGCAAGTGATGAACAATAGCGACCAGTAGCCTTCCGGTCATTGGTTTTCGGTTCGATTTTGGGTTAGCCAATTCATAGGTCCTCTAGTACTTCGAAAGATCATTCTTTTGACTATAAGCTCGCTTGAAACGGAGTTCGGTGAAGAAAGTTATGACGCAATCAAGTTTTCAAGCTCAAGCTCTGCGCTACGGATAGCTTTGAGTATCCGCTTTTGATTGAGAGTTTTGTTAAAGCGTAAGAGTCATTTTATTAGCGAT